TTATATATATATATAAATATTATATATATATATATATCTATTATATTATGTATATACTAATATATATCTATATCTATGTCCTAGATTATATATATATAAATATCTATATATATATATATATATATTATATATATAGATATTTTATATTTGTATATCTATATATATATATATAGCGATAATATATTTATATATATATCTAATTATATAATATCTATATAATGTATATATATAATGTAATATATAATGTATATATATAATGTATATATATAATGTATATATATAATGTATATATATAATGTATATATATAATGTAATATATATAATGTATATATATAATGTATATATATTAATGTATATATATAATGTATATATATAATGTATCTATATAATGTATATATATAATGTATATATATAATGTATATATATAATGTATATATATAATGTATATATATAATGTATATATATAATGTATATATATAATGTATATATGTATATATATGTATATTATGTATATTATGTCTATATATGTCTATATATGTCTATATATATTATATATAAATCTATATATGTATATGTATATGCATGTTTATGTGTTTATGTTTATGTATATGTACATTTACATATATGTTTAACCCATTCGCGCCGGGTAAAAATGAATAAAAAATGGGGGGAAAATGCTGTGCTCATATTTTATACTTTTTGTGAAATTTCTCTACACTAGATGGCTCTGCCTTACCTGATTTCATTTGGCGGGAAAATGTATTTTTACTAGTACAATGAATATCGATAGTTATTCTTTATTATAAACCTTATAAGTACTATAATGTTAGTAACAGCAAAATAAGATAACGTATAATATTTTCGTAAATTAATGAAAAAGGTAAACAGGCGAGACAGGCAGTACAAGTACAAGTGCAGCCATCTATGTGTAAAAACAATTAAACAAGTAAACTCACAGTGGGCCCGTCACATATATGTGACACCCGGCGTGAATGGGTTAAGTATACATGTATATATATATAATATATATATATATATATATATATATATATATATATATATATATATATATATATATATATATATATATATATAATATATATGTACATATAGATATACTATATATATAATATATATATAAATATATATAAAATATATATAATATATATATATATATATATATATATATATAAATATATATAAATATATATAAAATATATAATATATATATATATATATTATATATATATATAAATATATATAAATATATATAAAATATATAATATATATATATATATATATATATATATATATATATATATAAATATATATAACATATATAATATATATATATAATATATATATATATATATATATATATAAAATATATAATATATATATATATATATATATATATACTATATATATAAAATAATAATATATATATATATATATTATATTAATATATATATATATATATATATATATATATATATATATAAATATATATAAATATGTATATATATAATATATATAATATATATATGTATATATATATGTATATATATATATATATATATGTATATATATATGTATATATATATGTATATATATATGTATATATATATGTATATATATATGTATATATATATGTATATATATATGTATATATATATATATATATATATATATATATATATATATATATATATATATATATATATAATATATATATATATAATATATATATATTATATATATATTATATATATATTATATAAGAAATATATATAATATAAGAAATATATATAATATAAGAAATATATATATATAATATATATATATATATATATATATATATATATATATATATATATATATATTTATATATATATAATATAATAAATATATATAATATAATAAATATATATAATATAATAAATATATATAATATATATATAATATATATATAATACATATAATATATATAAAAATATAATATATATGAAATCACATGTACACATAGGTACACATATATAGACATAAGTACATATATGTTCATATTTGTACATATATATGACTAAAAGTGATTTTAGTATGTCTCCTTATGTCTGCAGTAGGTAAATTCCACCACATCTGGTTATCTGAGGCTCTCCCAGGCACTGATAGTTCCTGCAGGACTGGAGGAGTGCAGGTGACTGTTTGTGCTTCATAAAACAGAACCCTAAATCAGTAATTTCAATTACATCTGGAGTTCTAAATTGTGATACTCTCCCAGTCACCCATTGGGAGCTTGGGACACCCTTTCCCCATGGTACATGAATGAGTTGAATGTTTTCTCTAGTTGTAAGTCTGACAAAATAAGGTATAAATGGGAAGAAATACAAAAGGAATTGTCACTCAAAATAGAACAAATATAATAACATAACATAATATAGTAGAAGTATAAGCAAATATCATTCAAACATGATAAGCTAAACTAGAATTTAGTAAAATGAAGAAAAAGAATACAATTTTCTCAAAGTAACAGACATTTTTTTTTTCCATGCTTAGTCTGCCTAAACTGTTACAGCTGGAGATGCCTAAACAACCAGATTTTGGATCTATTGCCTATAATTAGTGAAGTTCAAGTTTATGTGCAGAAAATAAGATGTCAACAAAAAAATTTTATTATATCAATTATCTGGTCCTAAAATCCCTGGTTTATCCCCTTTACTCTCTAACGAACTCCCTCGGAGACTTTATCCCCAGGAGCATTGCTTGACCACAAACAGAAAGAGACCAAATTGCCTTTTTTTCACTTATTTCTCTAACCTCTATTTTCATTAGGTTCTAATATTTTGACTTGGGCTATGCAAGGTTTCTGCATAGAGGAATAAAATGGTAGAGCAGTCTTTTGGGTCAAACATTTTTTTTTTCTTCTTCTTTTTTGTTTCTTTTTTATCATACAGTCCTCTTAACCCAATGCTGCCAGGAAAATGAACAAAAAATGGGGAAAATGCTGTGCCTATTTCCTATATTTTTTGTGAAATGTCTACCCATAGATGACTCTGCTAGTGCTAAGCCACAAAGGAGTTAATCAGCAGACCTGGTGATCTTACCTGATTTCACCTTTCCTTGAATTGGCGGGAAAAATGTATTTTTTACTAGTGCTATGAATATTGATGGTGTTATTTTTATTATAAACATTACAATTATTATAATGTTTTTTAACATTAGTAACAGCATAATGAGATAATGTAAAATATTTTGTAAATCAAAGAAAAGGGTAAACGGGCAAGATAGCAGTACTCGTAACTGGCTCATTGGTGACTTAGTACAAGTGTAGCCATCTATGTGTAAAAACAAACAAGTACTCACAGTGGGCATAGCACGTACGTACACATCATACCTGTCAGCATTGGGTTAAGGGACCAGTTGTAAGATTGTAGGACTCTAGAATGAGAAGTGTCTTCATATGTTCCTTAAAAGAATCAACAAACACAAGACTTCAACAAGTGGGTATAGGAAGCCACTAACTCGAATCAGAGATTCTCAAGTATCATCATTATATAATATCAATAATATATATAACAAAATTAAAGAGGCTTAAAGGGACTGCCTAATTTCTTCTTACTGAACTATATTTTTTGTTATCAATCATTTAATATTTCTTATCATTTCTTGGAAGCAAAGGTTTTCAACGAAACTGTCAATCTTCTTTCTAGTTATTGTACTTTGTACTACTTAATAAATTTATATTGACTCACCATACAAAAGAGAACTAGCTACTTATCAAAATATTATATATAAATACAACCTTTATACCCAGAACCAGACAGTGGAATAGCCAGGATTTTGGGAAGAATGATTAGTAAGGCTTCCCTCTAGCACTTCAGATAATACAACTGCTTGCCTTTGTTAACCTATTTCTTATATAAATCTGTTCCACTTTAGACTTTAGGTTAACACATCATAAATCTTAAGAGATGGACACAAATCTCGAGTAATTCCCCAGTCTCAGATATTTAGTATGCCTTTCAACAAAAAGGCAAATTTGTGTTTAAAAAATTAACTATAAGTCATGGGAAACACCAAAATATAAATACACAAACCATAAATAGATAAAAATATAAGGATGAAGTGGGCTTTCTATAAATAATTCCTATATTCATATGAGTACAATGATTTTATGGTCTAAGCCTTTCGTAGGGTTTTCAATAAAAAATTTTCTACTATCTATGTCCTTTCCACCGTCTTTCCACCCATAACAGTAAAGATTCATTCAAGGCAAAAAATATCTTTTTAGTAGGTGAATCTATAAGTTATAGCTACATAAATTAATGTAACAAACATTCATTTTTTTCACAACTATAACCCTGGAAATCCTTTCATAATCAAGTTTTTTATTGAACATGTTCTTGCATAAAAAAATACTATATATAAGAAGAGAGACAGTTCCTCTTGATTGTTTAAATACCATCCATGTTACTATCAAAATGAAAAATGCTAGCCACCCAATATAAAAATGAAAGGAATAAAAGGGCTTGACAGTCAATAACCTAGGCAAAACACACAAAAAATGATAAATGAATATAAAAATCATCTGCAAATTAGACAATCCCTTTAGAAGCAATATAAAAAAAACATGACACACAAAGCAGAAAATATAATTCCTAAACATCACATATACAATATTTATACAGGAACAAGATCTAAATGCCAAATTTCTTTCCTGAAATGATTCCCAAACTACTGGCTTGACTAAGAAAATCACACCACTTGAATGGAAGAATTGGCTCCATTTGGCTGGTTCTCATTTGTTCTTTCCTGAAGCTGTCTCAGCTGCTCTTCTATCTCTTGAAGGTTCTTCCCAGCACTCTCAACTTTGTGGGCAACTAATTTGTAATAAAAATGAAAAGCAAATCCAGTAAATACCAAAACTATTGGCACAAGCAATATTGTTGAGACAATTGAAGCAGTGAATGAGTAATCCTGAAACTTAACCCAGCTGAGGATAC